ATAAAAATTATATAAATTGCAAGATCTAATCTACAATAAAAAAGTTGATATAATTCAATTTACTCTACAATATTGCATATTTATATTTAGTCAATGAGGTGTGGTGATCTAGTGTAGTGGTTAGGTTGTCACCCTCACCAAGTGGCAGGTCAAGAGTTCAAAACCTACCGACGGCGAAAATTCGAATAATTACCTGTGTTATGGCAACTGTCTTCTGTCGATCAGTTGGGACAGGATACCTGTAACTATGGTCGCACTAGCATGACTGGCAGGTCTGGGGCATCCATGCAACCTTGGGTTACATAGAGGGATGCAAACCGGCAATGGGCGGTGCAAACACTCGATAAGTCCCTAGATCATGTAAATCCGTAGAACTGGGAGGACAGGAGCCCATTTGGGAAGACCCGAGTGAAGAGGTAGCACAGATCTTTGACGGTACTACTGTAAAGGCTAGAACCAGGAAAAGGAAACCGAAGTGGAAGAACCGGACAGGGCATGATCAGTTTGTGGTAAAGCCAATTCACCAACCAGGCCACCGGGTTAACCGGAGGAAAAGGTCATAGCAGAGCCGATGAACCAAGGACAGATCACAGTCCTTCCGGGCCATCTGGATTGGTAGTCTAGGACTAAAGCGGAGGGGAACCGAAGTACTAGAGATATGCTATGAAGTGGGTACTGGGGTTTGGGTGAACTTCGCAAGGCATAGCCCTGTTGATAGGACCATAGAGTAGGTAGGTTGTTGACAGGGGGGCACCCTGAGCCTTGCTACTAGGTGCGTACTCTAGTAATAGGGGTATGGCCTGGGTCCCTAGCACAGAAAGGGAGACTAAATATCAAGTTAGACGGCACTTGTTGTACGGGAACTTAGGTGCTAAATTGCTGGGTGGGTACAGAAAATCAGAGGGTTTAAATAGGCAATCTCCTAGTAGGTTGCAGGTATGGCAGCTAGTGTAGAACCTTCGGGCGGACTACTTAAATAGGCAATCAAAAGTTGTACGTATGGCTAGTTGTACACTCGTTAATGTACCAATACGTCTGCAAAAATATTTGTAATAAGACATATAAATACAATAAAGTATTAGCAACTGTGACATCGGTCTTAAACAAAAAAAAAAAAAAAAAAAAAAAAAAAAATATTTAGTCAAAATTATAAATTAAAGTGTTCTCAAGTAGTATACTTAATTAATTAGTTAGTGATTATAATAGTTAAGACTGCAATCTAAATTCTTTTTTTTTAATTATGACATTTCTACTTAGTTTATTGATATTTCTATCTAATTTGGGTTTATAACTAAAATTTAAATGTATATCATATTTTGGTAAATAATATTAAACTCAAAAATTATTAATTCATTAAATAAATAATTGTGTATTTAATAGTATAATCTTTAAATTTTCAACTTTTAAACTGGTTTAAAGAATAATCTAAAGATTGAATTCAATTCAACAATTAAATAGTTAAGCCAATAACATGTAAACAGCAAGCAGAATTTATATTTATTATTAAAGCTTATACTGGAAGGAGCTAATTGTCAGATAATATCAAGAATGAAGTATAACAAAGAATATAATTATATTTAATATATATCTGATTATATAATTTATTTTTATGCTTTGGAATTTCTATATATTATATTGAAGTATTTGATATATATATAATTCAAATATCTTATAATATTAATGACTAATAGTTTTTGCAAAAATTTAGAATTAAAAATTATTACCTATTAAAAATTAAAAATAGTGTTTATACTAGCTGCCATAATATTAAAAGATATTTAATCAATTTGAAAAGCTTACAGAGTAAGTTAAATAAAGTCTGTATTATACTTTTTTTTGTTTTTTTTTTACCAGATTACTAATAATAGTTTTTATATTATTGTTTTTTAATTTGAGTAAATGTTTAACTATAGAATAAATTGGAATACATGTTGATAATACTTGTATTTAAATTGTACAAGAAAACTACTAAGCTTTTAAACTTTGTAAATTACATAATCATTAGACTATTGAAATTTTTAATTATTCTGTTCAAGTTGTTTGTTACTATAGCTTAACTTTTATATTAATTTTTTAGAGTTATAAAGAGATTTAAATATATAATTTGATGCTTTTTTTAAATATAAGAAGAAACAATTTAGTTTTTATTCTTTTTATATAAATACTTTATTGTATACAAAAGATGAGATGTTGAATCAAGATCTGCTTCTGGTATAATATTAAGAGTATAAACAATTGTATTATATAAATAATAAAAAAGAAAAATCTATAAATAATTTAATTAATTATTATAATAATTTACAGGTTTTCCCTTTTTATAACTTATATATGGATATTATCGACAGTTAATTTTTCTTTATTTTTTTTTCTTTATTTTCTTTATAATTTATTATTATTATTATATTATTTTATTTATTATTATATTTTATATACTCTACTATCTATATTTTACAAAAATATCTATATTATACTATTAATTTTATATAGTATATATATTTGTATAATTTTGAAACTAATTTTCTTAAAATTTTATTAAGACAATTTCAAAAGTGGTTCTATAAAATTCCAATATTTTAACTTATAGAACAACCTTTATTAATTGACTTTTAGCTCTTAATATAGTAAAATCTTTTATAAATTAAAAATTTTCTAAATTGTTTTTTGATTTTTTAATGTGCAACATGTAATTTTTAATTATGTTACAAAAAATTGTCATTTGTATATCACATAATTTTATAAGAAAATTAGTCTCAAAATATTATAAATAGATCTACTCTTCTACCTTTTGCAAAATAACTTTTATATTTCACCTTCTTTTAGTTATATTTTTTTTAATATTATTATATTTTAATTTTTTTTGTTATAAAAGTTCATTTATAAATAATAAAATATTATTTTTTTATTATTTTATTATTTTGTCTTTTGTTATAAGGCCACAATAGTATGTTATTGTTAAACTATTTGTGTCTTTTGTTCTTTATAGACTTCAATAAGATATAACAATTATTAGCCTATTATGTATTAAGGCTTCAAAGTTTTGCTATCTTGTATAATTTGTCTTAACTCTTTTAAATTTTAAACCTCTGTTGATTATCGAACTGTTAAGTTATTACTTCTTTCTGCTTGCACTCTGTATTGAGTTCAAACCCAAAGTAGTAATAACAGTATATTAATATTTAAGTTATTAAAAATCTTATTATATATTATTTTAAGTTCATGAATAGTAATTTTTTTAAGTGCTTTATTATTTTATTAATAAGTTTCTTGCACAAATTTATTTCACACTTTTTGGCTAGTAATTTAAGTACATCTTTTAATTGTATTTTATGCTTTGATGGCTAAACATTTTAAATAAAAGAAATCAGATTTAAAACTATGTTAGAAAAACTCTAAAATTATGAATATATAAAAAACTTTTTGAAGTTATTTTTGCTACATTTTTATATCTTTATTAACATAGGTTAATTCAAACCAAAATACATGCTTTTTTTAGTTAAAATATTATGATAACAAAGATGAGTCTTAAAAAGATTTAGTATTAAAACCATTATAAAAACTTTTAATAAAACTCGACATATAAAATAATAAAAAATATCTTTAGATAATTACAGTTTTAAATTTTTGGTTATCAAAGCCAATTCATAACAAATGTGCATGTTTTTTTAATTAAAGCACTAATGACAACAAAAGACAAGTTTTAAAAAAGATTCGGCATTAAAACCATCATAAAACTTTAATAAAACTCAACATATAATATGATGAAAAACATCTTTAGACAATTACAGGTTTAAATTTTTGGTTATCAAAGCCAATTCGTAACAAACGTTCATTTTTTAACTAGATGATATAGAGCGAAGCAAAAGAAAAATTCCTGCTAAGGTAAGATTTTTAAAGTGTTTAATTAATTAAATTTTTTAAACTGTAACTTTTTTTGGTTACACTATGCCATTTGTTTGTCACAAAATTGCTAGAAAAAAATCGTTGATACGTAACTGAACCAATTTTTTTAAAAGCTTCTTTCGATAATAATTTACTAGCAAAGACGGATCAATTTTGCCGATCAATTTTATGCATGAAATCTTACACTAGTATCATTATTACTTGCCCTTACATGGTTTTGATTAATCAGTATACCCCAATGATTCATGTTTACGTATTATATTGATCGATGAAAAGTTGATAAAACACAATACACCGAATAGATTAAACTGGTAGTCTGAAAGATGCTGCGTTAGCAATATTTAACCTTTATTCTTTGTTATTGTATAAAAAAAAAAATTAATAAAATTACCTAATAGCACTACGTTTTGGTTTATTAACAACACTCAATTGTTTAGAAACTTTTTGCGTATATCTCTAAATGTTTGCCTCCAATTATCATTGAAGTCCTCAAAGAGTAATCTTTTGCGGTTTGCATCAGGCCATTTGCCAGAAAAAGCCGTATCTAAAAGTTAAATGACAATATATAACATCGTACACATTGCATTTATTTTCATACTGCACCACATTTAATAATTTCAAGAGCGTGAATTAAATTCTAGATATAATTTCTTACATCAATACTATCAAAACAATCATTCAACAGTTCACGAATGCTGTTGTGTTCTTTGTCTTTATCTCTATAAACAGCTTGGGGGCTCTAGCAGTAACTTTTTAACGTCTTCTGATGTACTGTTATTATTCCAAGAACTGAAAATAATATGGAGATGGCCATATGGTTTTGTACTGTATATTTTGGTGCTACATCAAATGCAAACTTTAGTGGCACTATATAGTAGTAAATTAATTAAATTTTATAACCTACTTGATCTTGAGTATCTCGTGTGATTCGTTTCGCCGAAGTTGTTATTACACCCAGATTATTAAGTGTTGTATTTATTTGAAGCATTCCAGGCCACCAGAAAATTACAATTTTCGAAGTTACAAGGATTGGGGAGAAAAGGTAAATATCAAACTCATCGCCCTTGTCCAAAAAACATTTAAAAAGCTTTGTTATGTTCTTAAAATGCCTGGTCAAGTTGCGATGTAATCAACTTAATGCCTTGTCTTTCTGTATCGATAAATGCAACTAAAAAATTGCTGTCAATTTCTGGATAATCGTTCAACTTTGAAAATTTTCTAAGTGGCAAGAATGTCTTGGAAATATCAACACCTGTTGTAACTGTCTCTAGAGCAGAAGAAGACTTGAAAATCTCATTATCATGATCATCCACACCAGCCATGATATTCATGAACGTCGATTTTCCCGTTATTATGATATAACTATTAGAAGGCGCACTGAAATTTTTAACAGACAATAAATAATTACTTTGCCAGGCCAAAAATTGAGATAAGATTTACAGTTTCATTCTCAGTAGAAAGTAAGTCAGTGGCATTCTTTTCAACATTAATATAGATATTAGATGTCGCAACTTCATTAATAGTATCGCCTTGGCTTTTGTTGTACTCATCACTGATCACTATCCATTTCAAAGAACTCATGTTTAGAACTTTGAAAGTACTAGTTTTTAATATTGAGTAATTATATTGATATCTGGTTAACTATTTCCCTGAACGTAGAATAGGGCAGTCAGTCGTTATTATTTGAGTTAGTTTGATTAAATAAAATCACATAATTTTACATTACATTATTCTTAGCGTTAGCATTTGAGTGTTGCCAAATTAAATAAAGTAATTGCCATATCAAATTTCAGTTCCAGTTTTTAATTTTATATATTTAGCAGTATGTTGAAACGTAAAATTAATTAGTGTTCTAGTATGCTAGGATACAAAATAAAAATATTATTCTATACAGAATTTAGACTTTCTGGTTTTCATTTGTCGACACCCAAATAGTCTTTTAATAGTATGATAAGATGTAAAATATTGTGAAGTTCATGATGCAACTATAAACAATCAAATCATTTCTTAATTGTATAATTCAAAACTGTTTGATACATATGTAAGTATCAGGTCTCAAATCAGCACGAGATTGAATATATAACACGCCTGATTGTGTCACACTACTCGTGATTGATTCAAGAAATTAAGTATAAAGTAATTTTCGTATTTATGTAATGAGATAGTTGAAAAGTCAAAAAGTATAATTAGAAAGTTACTATTAGGGGATTTCAAAGTTAATATCAGAAAATCTTATTTTATTTTTCTGATTTATAATTTAATATAGTAAAATACTATTGAAAAAATCCTATTTATTTTTAAAATGCGTCATTTATTTGTTAACTTTGAAACCCCCCATTAGGTATTTGATCAGATTATATATATATAATCGATGATGTACGTACGTACGTATATGTACGTAGAGAAAAAATAGCCTTGTCACGTTTAACTGATTTCACATACGTCAATTTCGAGGTGACATTAATTAAAAAATGACGCAGAAATATACAATATTTGGCAGACGATGAAAAAATTTCCTGTTATTTGTCGCATGCCCAATATTGATGTTATCCGGCAGATATATATGACCATGTGATATTTTTTTCCTGTGATTTTATTGCATGAATGATTATGTAACCTCATGCAAAAATATCATGGCAAAAAAAATTCACATGATCATATAAATGCCGGATAGCTGATGGTTATTCCGATAAATGCTTAATGATTAAAACTCTATTGTAAAGAAAAAATGCAATACTCTTATAGAGGAAAGCAAATGTGAAGTACATTTTAAGATGCACTTATGGAGGATCGACCTATGTACTAGTTATTAGGACTATGACAAAATGAGTGTAATACTGTTTGAAATCGAGTTTTATAATTATATCAAATTGACTATATTTCGATATAGTTATATTTATAAAATATCGACTAAAAAAGTTGACTAGTCAATTAAATGATAAATTATGAATGTTTACCATTAACATTTATATGCAGCCAAGTCATATCCGTTTCTGTTTTTGTCGTTATCTATGCTATTTGATTTCGATTTCCAGTTATAATTGATCCGAATTAATTACGACATAAGCTTTAGCTAGTTACGGCTTAGACTGTAACATCATTGGGACTATTGCAAAAACTCGTTCTTAATTTCCAAGGGCAGTTTGGACTCTTTCTACCAAAAAAGTTCCATATAGTATCACATAATTTTAATTTACTTGACACCAGAAACACTCAACATAAATTTTTTATAATAATCTAAGCTCATAGGCTGAAATTTGGTACTGTGAAACTAATTAATATTATATAAACAGCATATTAAAATTAATAATACAGTTGCAACTAATTTATAGCATCTCGTAATGACTACTTTCTCGTCTAAACATCATATTCATCAACTAAAACGATGTTATATTTTATTAATTCTATTTATAATTTTTAGATCGCATACTTCTAATGCTCAATTCAATCATAAAAATGTCCAAACAAATAACATCGGTCAGAACTGGAAAAGAGATACAGGGGGACTCCCTCCTAACTCTACAACGACACCTAATAATGCACCTACTAATACACCTATTACCACACCTATCACCACGCCGCTGAGAATAAATCTTACTTTTGAAAAGTCTTTAATGCAATGGAACTTTCCGATTGAAGTTGGAACACCACCTCAACCAATTAATATGACAATTGGCACAACATCAAACTTACTCTGGGTCGTCAGCGAATTTTGCATGAATTCAAGTGGAAATGCTTGCAAAGATCGAACAACAAACTTTTTCGATACATCTCTTTCGAATACTATCTCGGGTGATTATCCAGAATTCACAATTAAATATATTAAAGGAAGTGTTCTTAGCGGTGTAGAGGCCAATGATACAATTATAATTAATAAACAAACTTTCGAACAACTGGGAATTGGATTGCCTATTGATATAAATGGAACCGAAAACGTCATCATTCCGGTTACAACTTCAGGACAAATAGGTCTTATGCCTTACCAGAATGTAATTCTCTTCATATTCTTAATTATTTATTATTATTATTTATAATATTAAATTTTAATATTGACACTAAATAGTACATATTAAATAGGTTTTCTGTGAGTAAATAGGGTTTTCCCAATGTTTGTTGATCAATACGTATCTTTTTTAACGATCTCATTTTAAATAATTCAAAATATTTATTTAGAATCAAATCGTGGGAATGGCTCTTTCCATGAGCTCCGAAAATGCTGGCTTAGGGGGAATAATTACACTTGGAGGAATAAATTCAGAATATATTATAGGTTGGTGAATTTTTTTTATTTCTCGTTTTATATTACAATTTATATCATTAAGCATCTCAGTGGGTTATTTACCAAATTATATACAGAGAGACCTCCCTAAATGCTCCCCTTCGGGACCATAATAAAAAATTTCGAAAATGTGCGGGAATGCATTTATTTTACATAGAAGGTGTATTTAGAGGGGTTTCTCTGTATTTATTAAAATCATGAAATCTTCTTTGCAATAATTTAAACTTATAATTAATGCATAGTCATACTATAACTATATATATTCGTTCATTTCTTATTTATTTATCACGTAAATCCACTGAAACAGTTAAATTGTTTTACTGAAAAAAGCCATCTTACATTGTTATTTTTAATAATTAAAATGTAGGGAATAACGAAAGTAATATAGTATATCAACATCTTCCTCAAATCACTGATCAAAATCAGCAATTCTCAATTAATGTTACTAATGTATATATAAATAATAATCCAATTAATTTACCTGGGTTAGTTTGGTTTGATAGTGGAATCCAAAACATCCAATTAGATGATAATAGTGCCAAAATAATTATAAATAATTTACCTGGAGGTAATTATTCTAATGGTATAGCAACGGTAGATTGTAACATTTCAAATACTTTTGGTCTATTTTTTGAAATTGCAAATCAAAAGTGGAGACTACCATCAAGCGTAATTAGTAAGAATAGCATAAGTGGTACAAATAAATGTGAATCTATAATTACTGGTGGCGCTAATGATGGTTCTTGGATATTTGGAAGTGCTTTTATTACGGTAAATTATAGTAAGATGCTTATATTATAATTATAATCACAAAAATATATTAATAATTTAAATTATTCACTTCATTGATTAAAGAATTTTTATATGGTTTTTGATCAAAAAAATTCTCAATTTGGTATTGCCTCTCGAAGTGATATTAATTATGGTCCTACGCCTATTTCTGTACGTATTTGTGCCTGCTCTACTGAATAATATACTTTACAGTATTAACATTCCTTTTTAATTTTGTTTAAATAACTTATTTAGCAAGCTAAAATATTAGTTCAAGTTCCCGATTTACATTACGTAAATTTTGGCGTAGTATGCTTGAAAATAACTGATCAAGAAGGAAAGACTCAAGCATTTACTCTAGAAAATATTGATCCTAATGGCTATTACCATCTAGGTGATAATTATTTAGCACAAGAAGGTTTTAATTATTCTATTGGCTTTTATACCGGACCACCAAGTAACAATCTTAATTGTTCTGGGAAGATAGCAATTTTAACTCCTTATTTCAAAGCAAACGTTATAACTGGTCTATGGGATATTAATAGAAAGGATTATTCTGTGCGTATGGTTTTAAAGTACAGTATGTACTCTGACAATATTAACCTAACTTTTTAAATATTTTATATTTTGCAGGTCGGAATTAAAGTTCAAATTCCTAATGGAACAAAATGTTTGCATATGTCAATTCGATTAACTGATAATTCTTTTGATACACGATATTTTCCTATAGATGGAAATGGGATTGTTATCGATGGGTATTACCATATAAACGATCCTTCAGCATATGTATCTTTTGTATATACTTTTGAAGCTTATGATGATTATAAAAGTGAGTCGTCTATATGTTGGGGAAACCTTATAGCTCGACATCCTAATTTATCTCCAGACATTACAAATGATCCATGGGCTGTGCCATTAAATGGGATAGTTTCTTAATTATTTTTAAATACGTACTGTACGTATACAGAAGTTATAATGAATTTATGAAAAAAAAATTTGGTAGATTAAGGGTGTGTAAATCATTTATATTAATAAACTATTAAAAAAATTTTTATATTTTATTATTAAAGAAATTTTATTAAGTAAATTTGTAAAGAATAAAATTATTAAAATTGACCAAATAGATCGCAAAATATATATTTTTATTTTTGTAAATTTATTTTACTTATTATAAATAGAATATAATTTGATTAGCGATTTGTATTCACTCCTGTAGAATAGACCCCAATTCTGAAAAGCGATTACAGTCGTCCTCCTCTACAGTCACCTCCTATATAATCACACCCTCTTCATAAGCACTATTTTTAAAAATTATATTTATTAAAAAATTTATATACAGATTTAAAATTATATAACCTATATAAATAACTGTAAATAAAAATTTATTGTATAATAAAATAGATTAACAATTATAATTATATATACTAAACAACTAAGATAGTATTAGAGTTTAAAATTATTACGGGCATGCGGTAATATGACAATAACTCTGATTAATTTATCTTCGGAAGAACAAAAAAATATTATATTTCAATTATGACAAGTCTTATATTATAGATCAATAATCACATTTATATTTTTACTTTAGCAATTTCTGAAGTATTTATGGTTCCTGAAATGCAATCTTAATATTGAAGATATCTATTCGATATATCTGTTACTGAATCTTATTATTCCCGAAACATATAACTTAACCGGATCGGCCGAAAAATCATTCGGCAAATTTTTACAGGTGTCCCAGGAATTATGATAATAGCTGTAAAAAAAAATTTTCGACTATAAATTAATAGATTAGCGTTCATATTTAAGGTCACGTAAGTTAATTTTTTGATTTGCATAACGTGGAACAGAAAATTCGGAATTTTTATTTTTATTTTTTAAACATACCAGTCGGGTTATTACGGAAGAAGTTCGCTATCGGGTGATACCGGATAAATTTATGGAAAAAAATTAAATATGGAATAATTGGGGCAATTGGGACTTAAAAAAAAAAATTTTCTTTGAAAAATTGGGTCGGCGGTTATGCAAAACGAAAATTAAAACTTTGCGTGGCCTTACATATATTATCATACTGCAATAAAAATGATATATTCTGGTAATATAAATTATGCTTAAATATATGATGCAATTAATTTTACTATAATTTAAAATGATATAACTATAACTATACATTTATCTAATAATATTTGGTGTACTTGAAGTAGAGTTAGCTCCGAAACCTTTTGTGCCAAATCCGAAAGTTTCGGGTTTCGGATTATAGCTTCTAAAACCTTATCCGAAGCCCCGAAACTTCATCCGAAACCCGAAACCGCAGAACTTCAATTTTCATATAATAATAGTTTAACTCGAAGCATCATCCAAAATCCCGATGCTACTAAACTTCAATTTCAACATATTAATAGCTAAAAAATAATGTAGTATGTAAGGTATAATAATTTCTTATTTATTTCTGAGATTTCTTAGTATTAGCATATCACAAAATATTGTTTTTTTTTTATCTCAAATATATATAATATAAAATTTTTATTCTTGTATGAAAAAAAAAATTTATAAAAATTTTTTTATATGAAAAAATTTTTTAAATATACCATTTTTTGCCGGCCGGCCGGTCCTATTTGCTTGTCCTATATAATGAGAAACAACTAATTTAGTTTGCATAACCTTATGTATCTTATATTATTAGAAAATTATTATTCATCATGACGCATCGTCATCCTATAATTAAATCAAAACAAAACAACAATCGAGTTAAAGCTTAGATTAGGATTCGGGTAGGGAAATAATTAGAAGGTCTTTTAAATTTCGCAAGGAATTTTTTTCATTAGGATAAATAGGACAATTTTATGGACAAATTCAAAGTTAGAAGCGATTTTTTAAAAATGGTAATCGCTTTGATTTTCATATTACACTTGATCCTGTATCCTGATTGGTTAACTAGGGTTTCGGAGTTTCGGATTATAGTTTCAGGAATTTCGGGTTTCAGGTTTCGATTTTTTTTAAAAAATCCGAAACTAGTTTCAGGTAGGTTTCGTTTCGAGGCCAACTCTAGCTTGAAGTAAGTGATTAAAATTTGTAAATATTTATATTACTTTGTTTATAATGTTTTAACTAAAGATACTGGTAAAATAATTTCACCATTATTAATGAAATTGGTGTTGAATTGAAGTTAATGAAATCAATTCCACCAGCATCTCTAATTTTAACTATAATATATCATTTCATTATGAATTTTAACTCTCGTCTAATCTTTTAATACCACTGGATTACTGCGAATTTTACACTACCCTAAAATTCATATAACGGATATATTAGTGTGAATTTGTTATGTAAAGTTATAAAAGTGGAACATATCCTAATGAATTATTATTAGCATACTGTATACGTACCCTTCCGCCAAAAAACATCAAATTCTTTAAATAAATACCGGGTATGATCTATTTTAAAATAAATACATTTATTTTATAGGGGATGGTTTTGTGAGAATTTTTGTGTTTAAATTTTCTTTGTACCATTTTTTATATTGTATTAGTATTCCTTACTATATTTGTTAATATTAGTACAATTGTATAGAGTGGCTGTGTATGTGAGATCTGGGTTTAAGACCACAGATCATAGTCTGAGACCACGGATCTTGGTCTGAGACCACGGATCTTGGTCTGAGACCACCGATATTGGTCTGAGACCACAGATCAACCACTTGATCTTGAAAAGTATAAATACAACAACTAAATTAATAAAGAACACACACAGAGAATTCTTTTGCCCCGACTAAATAAATAAATACATTCCTTAATAACCCACTATCATTAATTCAGAATCCCCTAAAGAACATTCATCTCGCATAACCTATGCTTGCAACCCTGAGCTAATTTGTCCTTACGTTAGACAAGTCTCTCCCACGGTTGCAACAATGTATTTTAAAGGAACGCCCCTAGCCAGGGTTGGCAATGGACTATGTCCAGTAAAATAAATATAGCAATGGACATTAATGGACCAATGGATATATATCCATTGATCCATTGATTCCATTGGTCCATTAATTCTTAATTATATAATTTAAACTATAATAAGTTTATAGCTATATAAAATAATCGTATTGATCTAAAACAAGTTTAAAATTGTTATCTAAGGCCATATAAAGTTAATTATCCGACAAACTCATTATGATTATGAAAAAATTTCTTTTTGTTATTTTTTTCATGTGTTACGATGTAATCATGTTTATTCAAATTAAAACTCAGCAAGCGACTCCCTACCAATCATGATCATAAATTGTCGGATAACACCATTATTGGGCAAATTTTTGAATAACGGTAATTTGGCTCAACTGGGCAAATGATTGGCTGACACGCGCCGCGAAGCGGCACGTGTTCATTTGCCCGGTTGAACCAAATTACCGTTATTCAAAAATTTTTGCCCAATAATGTATACTTAGTTGTTTCTCATAACCCGGCCAGGTCAGCTTTTGTAAATCTTCGATACAAAATTTTATATGTTATTTACTATAAATACTTCCGGGTGGTTTTTAATAAAAATTTTTATACAGTTTAAATATTTTTTAGACAAAGAAAGCTTATAAAATTTTTGCGATTTAAAAATTAAAAGCCGGGCAGGTGGGTCACTTTTAGAATTTTATGTTATGAGAAACAATTATTTAATTTTGTATGACCTAATATATACTAGCCTATTTATCTTTAATTTTGTTATAAGAATTACTCCAAAAGAAATTTTTAAAAAATATTTCTTAATTTAGAATTTTGAAAATTTTGAAAATTTTGTTAATTGCTTTGGCGCAGTTCCAGAACTATTACAACGAGTGAGAACACTTATATAACTAATTACAGGCTAATCACCATATGATTACCCCTTATCACTTCCCCTTTACTATTCAATGTTATTTAATTATGCTTAAAAGAGGATTCAAAAAATATATTGTAAAGCAAAGTAAAAGCTTCATGCTTGTTTAACTATTTTTAATATTTATAGAAAAGATAAGTCAAGTGAGTTTTCTAAAAAAGTATTGTAAAATAATATAAAAAAAATTTTTATTAATTGTGTAATGATTTTGTAATATATCAATAGTTCCTTCTAGTCTAATAAATTCAGATATAGATAAATAGATAACAGATTTATCTGAATTGGGCTTCTACTTGTCAAAAAGCCAAAGGACTCATGAGAATAATATAAATAATAAATTTGCTAGCACAAAATAAATTTGTAAGATCAAATTAATATAATAAATCAATTCACACTCCCTATAGGAAAAGTGGTATAGGAATATAAAAAAAACTCTCTCCGTTTATCACTCGTACACAAATTCTTTACTAAACTAATTATTTAAAAAACTGCTTATAACCTTTTTTTTTACTAAGTTAACCTTAGTTTGCTACTAAATAAACTTGTTCTTTATACAAAAACATATATAATACCTAA